CTTTTCAGCTAAAGTGATGTCTCCAGGCTATGTATTGGGCTTCCTGGACTAGAAGAGGTAGCTGATTTACTTGTATCAGTTGTAAGATTTATTCCACTGTCGATAGCGCTGTTGTTCTTGTTCAGCGAAGATGGTGGACTTGAGTTTTTCTTGAGAGCAGGGTCTTCTTCTAAGTCTGTGTCGTCAATGAGTGGGATGTGGGGCTGGGAATCTTCTATCCTAAATTCAGGATGAGTCATAAAGTTGTGAATAGAGGTTCTAGATTCTGGTTTTTCTAAACCTTCATAGAGAGAGCTACGGAATGCCTTCACGACGCGGATCTGGGGGGAGAAAAGGAAAGAGCTGTCAGGGGCAGCACCTTCGAAGGACAATGCTGTGTTAGAGATACTTCGTGAAAAATGTAGCATATGGTTAGGGCAGTGCAGGCAGCTGAAGTCCATAGTCTCTGGATGTTATATGCATAAACGAGTGGCTCAGTTATGTGCATTTTGAATATCTGTATCAACTGCAATATTAAAATAAATCAAGTTTAAAGCCATCAAAGAACTGATGGGAAGTACAGGTTAAAGAAAGCGAACGTCCACTCGTGTGGTACATCCCTAGTAAAAGACAAGCCATGTTAATTGTAATGCAAATGTAAAACCATGCATGTTGATAGTTTTGCAGTGAGTAAGTAGGAAGGCTTTTTTAATTAAAAAAGTCTCTTTTGTATTGTTAAAAAAACATTACACATAACATATCACACTTCACAAACAGAAAAGCACAGAACATGGACACAGTTGGATGGGTACATATGAGACACACAGAGGAGCCAATTGTAAAACTAAGTAATACCAGTGTTTTAAAGCAAAATCTAAATGGATGCAGCCAAGAGCACAAAAAGCCAAGCAGACAAAGTACTAAGCATAATCATGCTACCACAGGGGGGAAAAGAAAAAAAATAAAAATCACAGTTACCACATGAACAGAGATAACTTGCACACAACAACTACACTTGGAAGCCTGGATAATGTGAACATTGTATTGTTGAACCAACTTTTATTTTTCCTTCATGCATATGTGAGGTAAACACTCGAGTATAGACCCACTGTTCTAGCCATTTAACTTTTTTCTATATATAAAACATGTAATAAAATAATGTATTGATTGTTGGGTTGAATTTAATTACATTTTTAAACCACAAGCTCTTTCATTTTCTGTGTCTCGGTTGTAAAACTGTAAAGTTACATGTTGAAAACGACACAATTTATGCCATATATGCAGTCTTAAACTAGGTCAGCAGAGTTATGCCAGGGTAAATCTAGTGTCGTTAACCACCTGACAGTAAGAACACAGGTAGTTTATACAAGACGGCCCATTAGACTGTCAGAGGTGGTGTAGATTGCTTTCCCAGTAGGAAATGAGAAGGAAGAGTAAGGAGCATTGATAGTGGGGACACCGAGTCCTCTGTGGGTGGGCAAAGGGAGGGATGCTGTCTATATCCCAGGGACCTCCAAGTTCTGAAAAGAAGTGAAGGTTTGTGCTGGTTTACTGCTGAAAAAAACATAACTTTTTGGAAGGGGGTGGGAGGCAGAGAGGAAAAAACAGAATGGCAAAACGTGATCTGTTGGCAAATGTTTTATGACTGAGTTCTATCCTTCTACTTCCATGTAGTCCATGAGCGAATTCTTAGCATTTCTTAGAGGGGAGACCAAAACACAGGCAGAAGCAGAAAAGGTGCAAGCAGGCATCGTGAAAGCTTCTCCACACACAACTGAAATGGTTTGGTGGTTGGTATGTGTATCTTTTTACATATAAATATGCTGCACATTATTGGCTGGCCTAATACACCATGAATTTGCAAATCTGTAACTCCTCTTTAAATCAGCAGGTTGCATTTTAGCAATGGCATGGGGTCACAGTGTTACAGCTGTGGGATCTAGCTGATTCTGTGGCTGGAGTTGTCCAAGTTGTACATATTTCAACACATTTAAGACAGAGACTGACTTGTATTTTGATCTCTTTGAACTCTGTCCTTGTTTACATTCTCTAAATTTGGCTAGTCATCATCTTTCAAAAATCCTAATAGCAGAAGAAAGTCATGCCATCTTCAGATACATGGCCTTCGGTCTGGCCAAATACTCTTCCTTCTCTTTATAGATACATTTGGTAATGGCAGAGCACAGCACAGAAGTGGCTTGTGTACTACTTATGCTCAAAATAAGAGGACTGGAGTAGTACAGAATGGCCTGTCAGATCTTAGGATACCAGAAAATTTTAAAAAAGGAAGAGCAGAAGAATAAATTTTACACACTACAATCATACAGTGTACCTGCCCCCTCCTTGGCAGAGCACCTGGAATTATAAACCAGGGTTTTATGAGAGCTCAGTGTCTCTGAATTTTGCAATGCTATGTGATGGTTCTGTACAGTGAACAAACAGACTGGGATGAGATTCATTTGCATTACTAGAGATTGGATTTGAACTCATGGACAAGAGTCAATGCCTTTCTATCTTGTATTTTAAAGTGCAAAGTAATTAGTCTAAGCAATGAAAAAAATTAAAGTTTTGTCAAGGCAATCTTTACTACTACTACTGCATTGTGTACAAAACTTTTTAACGTGCTTACTTTATAGTATGGGATGATAAGGTGACATTTTCTGCAAAGCCACCTATTATTTCTGCTATCGAAATAAAAATGAGTCACCTCATTCAGTTGCAGCTGTTTGCTATATCTTATCAACTAATGAAATAATTTTCTTCTTTTGATTACAGCCACTTCTTACTGCATAGATTTAGGTTCTATTTGCCAGCTGGATTCCTTTTAATAAAGGTAAGGTGAATTTTTACTTAAATAAAGAGGTTTGAAATTTGATTTTATGCTTCAACAGATCCAGCAGAATCCAATAGTAGTAAAGCTCTTCTTCAAGTTGCACAAACTGTATTTAAGCCACTGCAGGCTAGCAAGAGAGGAACTGAATTCAATTTATGAGGTTCCAAGCTTTATTGCAAGGAAAGCATCTATATTGCATTTAATATGAAAATTTGGCATCTAATTTGCATTTAACACCAAGCTTTTAGTCAATGTAACTAGCTAACATCTTGCACAGCTAAAGGAGAACTACAGATTTAGGCTGTATTTGGAAGCCAGTTATGAAAACCTGGCTGCCATGACCTGAATTTGGTACTCAAGTACAGTGACTGCTTGAACTAACCATCCGTTTAAAGAAAACCCTACACTACCATCTTTTGCTCTAGATGTCTTTACAAAACCATCTGAAGCTATAACTGCAAAATGTACAACCAGACAGCAATTGTATCACTTTGTGTGAAGATCTGTGGCAAAGTTTTGGCATGGACTGTTTGAGTCTAGATGTTACTAGAATAGCTCTGCCTGTTCATAGGAATTTTTACTGGAAATAAAAGCTCAGAACTAGTTTGGATCTGCTGATACCTAAAGTAATTAAACTTCTGAATGCAATGGTAGTGTCAGGGCCAAACTTGGACAAATCCCTAAAGCTGAGAATACATAAAGTTAGCTTTCTAACAAGTTTTCTACACTAAGGAGCTGTAGAAAACTACCTTATTTTCTTAAAAATTTCTCTGCCATTTCAGAGTTGTATGTATGTTTTCCATTAATTTTTCACTTTAGGACAAACTACCTCCTCAACTTTGAATTTTGCATATTTTGCTTAGCTTCTAGAAGAAAACATGGGTTTTTTTGTGTTGGTTTTGGTTTTTTTTTTTAAGTGCCACACACCATTCAGTGACAGAATTTCTGCATTGTAATTCTTGTTCACAGTCTATCCCTCAATGTATTAAATTATTGCTTACAGCAACAAAACTTGCTTCTTTCATTATGTTAACGGAAAAAAAGTAGAGGGTTTGTTGGACACAAAGGTGGCATTTTAATTTATATATAAACAATGTCACTGTATTTAAGCTAAGAAAAAATATTATTTACCCAGAATTACATGGCCCAACAGCAACAAATTCTTTTAATACATGCTTAAGTTCAAGATTTGAAGTAATATCTGCTGTTAAAATGTTCAGGGGCTCTGCTGAAACAAAGCCCACATTACTTTTCTGAATATCAAATAAAACGATAAACTTTATAGAATGTTGTTATGGTTGTACAGCATGTAAAAGCAGGGACATACCCATGATGGATAGAACCTAGAAGGTGTGGGTTTACTATGAACCATGTAGAGTTCATGTAATGATGTTTCTTTATGATACTGACAATGCCAAGGGAAGACAAACAGTGTGATACAGCTCCCTTTTCTCACAGTAATGGAAACAACAGAAAAAAATGAAATGCTTTTAAACAAAAGACTGCGGGGACAACACTTCAGGACATTTTTGACACTGCTATGTTTCCACTTCTTTCTTCTCTGTAGCTGTAACAGAAAAAGCTCTTCAGTTTCATCCCACCCTGAAAGTTAGATTTATTACACTGCATCAGGCAAGAAAGTAAAATAAATAGAATTTTAGATACTACAAATTTTTCCCATCAGAAGAAAAAGATGAAGTTCAGAATCTCGCTTCTATGTACAACAATCTAAGCAAAATACTCAAAGTCTGTTAAGTGTAACAGAGGTATTATGGTTGGTAGTGTGTGGGCTTATACTCGAATGTTTACCTGGCTTTGTATAAGCCAAGTATTTTGTGTTTGGTTCACATTCATTTCAGGCTCAAGGTTAAAGACTCACAACCTCTTTTTATTTCACTCTCTCCTGCTGATCCCTTTTGTCCAATGTTCTCTAGCCCTCTGGGAAAACAAACACATTTAATATTCAGACAGTAGAGAGTAGGGCACTGCAAAAGCAAATAAATTCAATACTGAAAGATCAGTAAGGTGATTAGTATAAAATTGTAAACAAGAGGTCAATTTTGCAAAGAGATGCCAACTCTTATGTGTAACTGATAATCTATAGCAAGACTGTAGCTATACAAAGGTAAATGAGTTTGGTCAAGTACTATTGCACATGTAAAGCTTTGAAAAAGAAGGCATATCTTCAGTATATTTGGTTTTATTTATTTTTGAATCCTCTCAGTTTCAGATGAGTAAAATCAGATCAGGTATCCTCAGGGAAAGATATTGCATGTATTGGAGTCACCTGTAAATGCTGTGGCTAGTACGTTCTGGATCGTGTGATGCAGAGGCCAAGCAAATTATAAGAGAAAATGATAAAATAATTTTAAAAAAATTAGAAATTTATGATTTCTAGATTTCTTCATTAATGAGTGAAGCAGATACATAACATTATCTGTTCTACTGTCTTTCTACATAAATTTGCAGTAAATCCAGTAAGTGTTGCTGAAAAGTCAAACCACGTAG